AAAAAATAGAATTACCTATGGTTTCCACAGTGAAGTTAGCAGGTTTGTTCAATTCTGCACTCTTCAGGCCAGGGCCATATGCTTTGCATTTGGACGCGTCTGTTGGAGGTAACACATCAACCTTGAAAGGGCTTCCTGGAATATGTTCATCAGCAAATTTCACATCCAAATTGTGAATTCCTTCTTCAAATGGTGTGTAGGACACACTATATGAGCCATCTTCGTTGTCTGTTACTAGAGTGTCTGTGTGGGCGCCAGAGGGATTGGTTACTGTAGCCATGAGCTGTCCATCACCTTAGATTACAAAGATTCAAGTTAAAATGGATTTGAATAAGTCGGTACCAGTTCCCTCTCTGTCGATATTTTTGTCCGAAGAGGAGCAAATACTACGACTTATGGAAGTAGTGCGTCTTTCACTCTGCCAAACCATGTGCTTATTGCTCCATTACATTTAGCTATGATCAGTATTTTTTCGGAATTCAATACTCCACCCACAACGAATACCACATGATCCGACCCTAATCAATGCGTGACCAACCTGCTTTTGAGCAATCAACATCAAACTCTGCCAGCATATCAATAGTGGCGGTTTCCAAACCATCTCCCTGAGCTTTGCACTTGCCAGCGTCACCTTTCTTTTGTACATTGACCTTGAAAGGGCTTTTAGGGACAGGCTTGTCGGCGAACGACACATTGACATTGTATGGTCCTTCACTGGGCGCGACGTATTCACATCTAAAAAGATCTTTGGCTTCTTCTTTTACTGTGATATTTTCAACTGGTTTGAGTCCTTTAGCTGAAGTAATAGAAATGGAAATTATAGCAGTTTGTATGTCTTGTTAGTAGCTAGTCGTTTTTATTGTTTTGTTTTGATTTTGATTTTCTACGACTACAAAATGTGTTTCCCCGACCTTATCGATTAGTTCTTTTATAGCTGTCCAATCATTGACAGAAGAAGCAATCACGTGCCTAAAAAATGTTTGGCGCGAAATCGACGACGCGAGCGCACATTTTGGTTAAATAGGCGATGTATTTTGACCTCACATTTTGGATTTACACAAACATAATCTTCAATTTTTAGTTACCTGCTGGTTCTACGCCAACGTGGACGTCTCCTTTACCAGCTCCTTCACAAGCAATGTTGAAATAAGTTGGTTTATTTGGTTCAACTCCGTGAGGTTCGACGCCAGGTCCTGACACTTTGACTTTAGAAGAATCCGATGAGGGCGAGATTGGGACTTTGAAAGGACTTCCAGGAACATGCTTTGAGCCGTACTTGACGTTGACTTTGTGATTTCCTGCATAACAATACACAAGGTAAATGTTTTGCTTGGGGCTTTTGACAGCATAAAATGTCTGAAGAAAATTCAGAGGATGTCCTGTGTCAGGCTTCGTAATCCTCTGCATGACCAGATTTCAATAATTGCTAGACATATGGCCATGGATGAATTTGTTTAAAAATGTATATAAAACAGAAGTACTTCAAATTAATATATTTTATATAAATGCAGTATTGGTTCAATTATTACATAAGGGTAGTGGTCTATAGGCGATGTCAAGTTTTCACTATGCATTTAACTTACCTTTCTTCTGTGGGAAGTAAGTGACAGCATGAAGTCCAAATTCTTCTTCTTCAATGTCGCATTTGACTGGAGAGTTAAGCTCGTCAACAACAGTGACTTCAAGAGGAGCATCCCCAGCAAGACGAGTGTCAATATCAATATCWGCTGGTTCCCCTGCACGAATTCCTGGCTCAATTCCAGGACCCTCAACCTTAACTTTGGTTGGRTCAAATGGATGTGTTATCCTGGCYTTGAATGGACTGCCTGGAATGTGTTGGTCAGCAAAGAGGATGTTGATCATGTAATCACCAGGTTCATTTGGCCAGTAATCCACGTCACAAGAACCATCACCAAGGTCTTTGCATTCAATTTTAGCTTCTGATGGCCCTTCAATGGTGAGCCCAAGACCTCCTTCACCAGCACCTTTAGTTTCAATCTTAAATTTGTTGACTTGGTTGACAAAGCCTTTCTCCAAACCTGGACCATAGGCACGGCATTTCGCTGGGTTGGTTTTGCCAACATTGACCTTGAAGGGGCTCTTAGGGATGGGTTGGTCATTGAAATGTACAGTTACAGTGTATGTGCCTGGTTTATCTGGATAGTAAGTCACGGCGTGGGTACCATCTTTGTTGTCAACAATTTCTACTGGTACTTTCTTGCCACTGCCATCCATCACTTTGACATCAACATCACCATCGCCGGCATCTTTAGTGAACACTGTGAACTCRGCTGGGGCACCTGGGCAAAAGAAATAGAATAGAGATTTTATGTATTTTCCATTCTTAATTTCATTGTACTGTACATTACCTGGAGTTAGTTATGTGAAGGGTAGATAGTGCTAATGACAAAATAAAATCCTTACCCAATGCAGAAAAAAACCTTTAAGATCTATTAAATGATTAACTTATGCTTTGAATAACTTTATCCACCCCTTGTACAACCGAACAGGGACCAGACCTGGGCCTATARTTGGACCTCATGGCAGACTTTTGTTACATCTACTTCATGAATGAACATTATAATTTGWAAGTATAYATCATGTTATTTACCAGTTGGGAGRTCCATATAGGAAAACACTGCTCGAGGTCATGACAGTCAAACCGAGCTCAATATAAAAGAGTGAGGGTAGTGTTTTTCTATACGGACCGACCAGTAAATAACTTTTTTTTTATTTGTATTTTCTGCAACTTTGCTTGCATCCTAGTTGCAAGATACTGTGGACCAGGCAAATCGTGAAATACCTGACCACACGCTAGCTAATCACAGCGCACGAATGACTAGGATACTGGATTGGAAATGCATACCTGCACAAATACCCTGTGGCTCAAGACCAGGTCCCTTGGCATATGCCTTAGAGGCATCACCAGCAGGTGAAATCGGTACCATAAATGGACTCTTGGGAATATCATCATCACCACATGTCACATGCACAGCATATTTTCCAGGAATAGTAGGATAGTAGGTGACATCACACTTGCCATCACCTCTGTCAACACACTTGATCTCAGCTTGGGCAGGACCCTCCACAGCAAATCCAAGACTGTCGATACCAGCTCCTTTGGTCTCCACAGTAAAGTGGCAAGGCTTTCCAGCAACACCTGATACATTAAACAATCAAAGTGGTGTGATTCGATGCTTTAATTTCAAGAGGTAGGAAGGTTTTGGTTTAAGGCAAGCTGTTCAACAGCTGCATCCAAAATGTATGATTTATGAATATGTGGGCTAATGAGATGCCATTTGCAGTTCTTACCTTTTTCCAGGCCAGGACCATATGCACGGATCTTACTTGCGTCAACTGCTGGAGCAACTTTGACATGGAATGGACTCTTTGGCACTTGAACAGCACTCCAAGTAACAGTCACAACATACTGGCCAAACTTCTGTGGATGATACACACATTCATAGGTGCCATCCTGTTTGTTCTTGATGTCGACTTTCTCCTCTCCAAGTGGACCTTCCACAAAGACATCAAGTTCACCATCTCCTGCTCCTCTTGTATCCACAGTGAATGGAGCACGCATACCAACTTTAACTCCAGTTGGCTGTATACCTTAGAAGTAAATTCAATAGTATTTAGCTCTGTTATTTAGTAAATGCACACCATATATAGTTAGGTTCTGTTGTTCTGCCACTCTGATGATGCCTTTTGGTAGCATGTTAAAACATGTCAATCAAGATAAAAAACATTTTGTTCTTTAAAAAGTATATTTCATTCTGGTATAGTATTTATCAGTGCCAAACAGTACAACTGTATGCTCATTCTTAATGTAGAATATATAATGGAAATAAATTTACCATTAAACTTCTGTCATGTTCGAAGCATGTGTCTGACTTATGATTGTAAAAAAAAACTGAATGTAAGGTATGGATGCCAGCCTTTTGCAGGACCTTTTTTAACTAATTAACCTCGAGGTCGAGTGGACTACGATCTAATAGCCCATGTGGCCGAGTCCGCAAGGCCGAATGGGCTATTAGCTCRTAGTCCACGAGGCCGAGAGGTCTAATTGTTTTAGTATAAACATACTAATCGTTCAAATAATGAAAATAAATTGAAATATCCTTAAAATAATTTATAATTTATTTATTTTGATCTTCCCGCGAGTGGTCTATCACAAATTAGACCATTAGTAGAGTAGCCAATCACAGCGCAGTATGAGTGATAGACCATTAGTAGAGTAGCCAATCACAGCGCAGTATGAGTGATAGACCATTAGTATGTTTATACTAAAGATTGTTACATTGTTTCTGGATACATACCAGGTCCAAATACTTTGACCTTAGATGGTATAGGATCAATCTTAGGTGGACTAACATTGACATGGAATGGGCTGCCTTGAATGGGCTGGCCACCAAACATAACCTTGATGGTATGTTTKCCAGCATTTACAGGYTGGTACTCAACCAGATATTTGCCATCYTCTTGTGGTTCMACAATGACATCAACATCTTCACCTCCACGTGGATCAATCACTTTGACAGTAACTTTTCCTTCACCTGCACCCTTTGTGTGGACWGTAAACTCAGTGTACTTTCCAGCAACGACACCAGTTGGTGCAAGACCAGGTCCTTCTGCATACGCCTTGCGAGAATCAAGATCAGAAGCAACTTCAACTCTGAAGGGRCTCTTTGGGATGTGTCGTCCATTCCATTTAACATGGACATCATACTTTCCTGTAAAAATGTTTTTCAAATCTTCAGTTGATGGGAATAATTCATTTCATTTTTATTCTATGACTGTAATATGTCTAAAATGTTTCAAAACATCCATATACATGTATCCTATCAAAGAATCTAATCTTAGCATACTTACTACATATACAATAGTAATATGTTTTCCTCTCTATACATTCATATTTTACTGCCGTTATATGATATATGCCTATCCTCAAAAACGTCATCTACATGTAGTATTACTCCTGGTACTAGTAAAATTCTTGCAATTTCAGAAGTTTTTTATATTATTTTGCTTAATTTGTATTACTTGCTATTTACGTGGGCTTCCTGTGGAAGTCCACGTCTTAAAATGCAACTGGCGATTTCGTCGTGGTCGTCGTGAATATTACGCTTCAAATTGGTAGCGCATCGATAGCGCATGCGTTGCAGTCTCAGTTTCCATGGGGATGTCGAAGTAAAATCAATCAGCGCTTTCTTTTCATTCATGACATGTATTGTTTCGTATGTCATTCGGCCTCGTGGTCTTATCGCGATATCTAAGTCACGTTATAGCTACTGTGACCTGGTTTGTGACCAAGAAAAGCAATGTGATCAAGAAAATGAAGGAAACCAACCCTAGAACGCTGATCTCAAAGCTCTTACTACTTCTTGAATCATTCAAACGATCAAGATATTATTCAAAGTTATAATACTTAGAAAACTGCAAAGACTGTATCGTTTCTATTCTTTATTATTATCTCTGGAGCTACTACGAAACTATGATATAACATAACCTTTCAGGTCAAATTTACATATTTCGAATATTTGCATATTTTGAATAATCTAGACGCTCTTAGAGCGTAAAGTCGGGCTAGCTATTTTTGAAAACTGAGAAAGTCAAGGTACTTAAGTTAATTAATTAGAGTTCAGTTCGGTAAAAAATTGTGATGTAGTAAATAGCTTAGGGTTGTCCTGACTTATTTCAAACAAAGACTGTATCGTGAAAATGAAATACTTATAGCTCAATGGCGGCAGCTGACCCATTGTCGCATCTACAGGAAGCCCACGTAAGCGATCAATGATCGTCTAGTTATTGTTGTAGACGAAATACAACAAAGAATTACCAGCAGAGAATTTGTAGTTACCCAACTTTGCTTGCTATTGGTATCATTTGAGAGTAATATGTCCTGTACTTGTTCTTTATACATTCATTAGACAACAAAGAGGTCTTTAATTGAACTGCTTAAGTTTTGACCATTTATAGTAAATGTKTAATCAGGCAGCTCATCAAATGAGCTATAGAGTTAAAGTTCAAGGAATTAAGTAGGCTAATCCGTTAATCTYCTGTATTTTGATAACCTTCTGATAAACTAATGAATATTTAATCCATAAAACTTACATAAGCTATTTCAATATAAACATAAMCTTAAACTAATTTTCACCACTTGCTGTAGAATCTATATTTTGACAGAGAATAGGTCATCTGCATAATGACRYAATTTYACTATAACTACCAGAAAGCCTTGCWCATTTTCATTGGTATTTAGATTTTTAATCCCTTTGAAGATTAGCAAAACAATTGGCACTTATTGTATTACAAAAAAAAGTGGGCAAAGCATTCTGGTCTTGGTAGTCAATGACGCCACTGGCTTGACTATGAAATGTTGTTTATATTTTAAAGGTGCTTGAAGAAACAACACAAACCTTGCTTCTGCGGGACATATTGACATGAATATGTGTGGTCATCATTGTCCTTGACTGACACCTCTTGTTCAACTTTACCAGGTCCAAAGACCGTTACCCCAAGCCTGCCACGCCCAGCTCCTTGGSTAAAGACAGTGAAATCTGCAGGTTTCTTAACAACAAGTCCTTTTGGCTCAATACCAGGTCCCTTGGCATGGCACTTGGATGCAGGGTGGACCCTGGGGCGGAGGGGTGCTCCTGGTTTTAGCTTGGCCTCTGGGAAGTAGGAGACATATGTCATCATACTGAGCTCATCCACTCTAGGATTGCACATGTCAGCTGGATCCAACACCTACAATGAGAACAGGTATTTGTATATTTAAAAAAATATACTTGGTAGAAAATGTGCTTTGAAATGGGTAATAAATAATGTTCAGTCATGCCATTTTCAAGACTTCAAAAGATTCTGGGAAATAAGGTCTATACAATTGGGATATCACTAATTTGCTTTTCTGAATTGCTACATGAACATTGCCAGACAAATGTCAATCAAAACAATTGGTGTTATCATTAAACTAGTGGTAAAACCAAAGACCTTGTGCTGATTGTTTGCATATTGAGAAATAATATAAATCATGTTTTAAAAAAGAAAGTTACTTCATGATCATGGGAATATCATTGTCTCTCTTGACCTGTATCTCCTAAGTTGATCTCTCAAACATTTATTTTGATATCAAAGTTTTAATTATAAATGTTTACTGTAGATAACCATCTAACATTGTCAAATTGATCAATACCATACCTGGGGAATATCAAGCCAATCTCTAGCAAGATCCATAGCTTGTTTAGCATTCTGTAAGGCATCTTTTGGATCTAAATCTTCACACTCGGGTAACAGGCCAGGAGCGACAGCATCCACAAGACATGCAATAGCTCTACCATCGTTCCAATGAGTAGTGAAGTTATCCATAGGGACAGACTCAGGCATTTTACTCTTGACCCATGCCAGAAGGGCCTGTTTGGGTGTCATTTTCTGACCTCCGCCTTCTTCATCATCATCATCATCCAGGTATGGCATACTGATTTGGTATTTCAAAATTAAGGTCCATATTAGACCAAGGATAAGCTTGAGATTGCCTTTTACAATATCACTAGCATCTGAGGGTTTGAACAAAGAAGTGTGTTATTAGAGGTTGGAGGGGTGCGCAAGGGTATAATCTGAGATAATAAGAGATGTTCTCTGCTTAGGTAATATTCATGTCATGACCAGACCAATTGGGAGAAGAGTTCCCTTTTTTAAACTCCCATCTAACTTCACATATATTTGCATGCATTGGTAGAAAACCAAGTAAGCTCATTTTATCTTTAAGTTGTTTGAAATCTTAATCTTTAGCATTTCCATTAACAACATAAACCTAATATATATCTGAGAAGAATGATTCTTAAAAGTAAAAACATATTTTTATATATATTTTATATATATATTTTTGCACATTTTTATTTTATGACATATATTTATTTGAACAAAACCTCCATAACATTAAAAATTATACAAAAATAGTCAAAAGTTCAAAAGATTCAYATCATATTCCAACAACGTGATTCAACAGTCCCATACTTTTATGTTTGCTGTTCTCCTGTTGGCATCTGTATTTTATATTTTTTTATGGAGTAAACATTTGCAAATCCCAGGTCAGCAAATATTTTTTTTGGTTTCCGTATTTTGGCTAAGAAGGGTATATATCTTATCTGCAATCAACTTTTAGGAACTATCTGATGCCAAACAATCAGACAGTGGTCAGATAACATTCAGGTAATTACACCCTTATATGACAATATGTTCTCACAGTTCCAGACAATATCACTGGTTTGATTAGAGAAATAGTCACAGCTTGCAAAACACATGCATGTCTTAAACTAAAATGCAACTTAGTGGATTATTTTGTGGCACTAGTATGCGTATACTGTCAGATTTTGTGTTGTGCAATTGAGATTGTTCCAGAAAAAGTTTGTGTACAACAGTACATTGGAAATGTTTCAATACTTATTAAGTATATAAAGCATATAAAGTCATTTAAAGTCATATAAAGCCAGCCCTGCAAATAATAACTTTTCTACATTCAGTACCAAACTATTCTTAATTAACAAATTAAACATACAAATTAATTCATGTCAGATACAAATTAATCCTATTATCTAGCAAAAATGCAAAGTGAAATATCTAAATCATATACTATTTGAGTAATAAAGAAGCATCTCACCCAGTAAAACTGGGAATGTTTATCAAAYGACTGYACAATTATCAAAAGAYTGCCTGTTCACCAAAGGTCATAATSTTCWGTATAAACAACCTAAATATTTGAAATAGTTGCACAACAGCATATTTCTTCATTAGTTTCCTTAAACTCTTAAACCTATTAGAGTCAAMCATGGCTTTATGAATAGCTAACTGCAGGACATTATCTTCGAGACTTTAATAGTGTGGTTTTCATAAACTTCAATTTGAAATACAGTCACTTCATTTTTTTATATATTTTTTCATCATTTTGGTGTATTACACGCTATTGCACTTGGACTGTTGTTCTTTGTTACATAGATTAATGAAAAACACTCTCTACTAAAGGCAATATTATCTGGTTAAATCAAACTACTGTAGATAGAGAAACAATACATAATAGATTATAATGTCTTTGCAGTAGTCCTACTTTGCAGACTGTTTTTGGTGTATTACACACTATTGCACTTCAACTATAACTCTTTGTTTCATTAGATTAATGAGAAGCATTCTACTCAAGCTAATCTTATCTGGTTAAATCAAACTAGATAGAGCCACAATACATAGTAGATTACATGTATATAGTCTATGCAGTATTCTGCTTTGCAGACTAACATTCATGGTTAACAATCTGAGTACAATGCTATTGGATTAAGCAAGATTTTTTAGGAAGAATAATAATTTGCAAAGCAGTATCCAAGCAGAGACATTAAATATGTATGTTACAGTTGAATGATCCTAGATTAAACAACAATCAGGAAAGATTAACAAGTATAGCCTARGAAAAAGGTACTGTCTAGGTGGAAAATATGACAGAGCAAGAGTTATTGTTAACTATATAATAAGTTATCATCTACCTGCATTCAAAGTTAAAATATTTTTATCTCAAACAATTTCTGAGAAATATGAGGCTATGTATAGGAAAATACAAAAATAATTATATTTGTAAAAACAATTTTCAGCATCAACTTTATTATTATTATTATAATTGGAAAACTACCAATGTTACTCTCCAACAAAAGTGACAATTTATTATGTAGTTTTGCAAAGAAGTGTCAAAAAACAATTGGAAACAAGTCAAAATTAAACTTTAAAGTGTTTTATAACCCGTACATTTGCATAGTGTTTCAGTAGAGCCAGATGAATAAAGTTGTTTGTATTTTCCTTATAAGAAATGATTCTCACTAGAACATAAACAGAAGYAGAAGACTGGCCAACTTTTATGTGAAACATAAGCAAAGTCACATCTTTATGACAATTATCAACCATCTTCAGCTTCTGCAAATTATGTTCTAGTGTGGACATGCCCTAAGGTGTAAAAACATACACAGATACAACATAACGCTTAAAACAACATCAAATGACAGTACAAGACTAAGTCCATATTATACGACATTATGTACCTATTGGACTTAAACACCCATTAAAATAGATAAATTGTTTTGTTGTTATTATCAAGGTATATAATTATAGTCCCATACAAAGCTTCTCTTAAAAACCCCTGTCAGTAATATCAATTTGTTTTCTAGTTATAGCTTCCTCAACATGAAAATATATTGCACATGAGTGCATAGCTTGTCTGTGATGTTATGAAATCTAAGGATTTTTTTMGTTAAACTTTTATGTATTCTATGCAACTTGTTCCATGGGTTTAGTGTTATGATTTAAACAAATGATCACATTGTTTAGAATATTTAAGAGCTACCTGTAGAGCGCATAAGCATCTTTTGAAGATGTCATCACAATGCAAGCTTATAAGCAAACTATATTCCTAATTCCAAACGAATTCTTATCCCACCTAAATAAGTGCATGACCTGACAAAAACACAGGACATTAAATTGCAATTATAACGTCTGAATGCATTGCAATATAGAAAAACAATTTTAAAAACTTTATATTTCTATAGTAASAAATAGATATGGATGACAAAAATGAACTTCAAAGCACTTTGACAAGTTTTTTCTCGATTTTTCCGCGTTTCATAAATCTATCCCGGTTCCATTGTTCTGTCATATAATTTAATTCATGCAATTAATAAATTGCTCTGATTATTACTATAATGATTTGTACAATTTAATTAAATAATCCTGGGGTACTGAAAAAGCTGACCTACTTTCATATTGAAATGCATTTAGATTTGATTAACGGTTCTTTGGGCTTGATCAAAGATTCTTTTTTGGAACATTGCGTTGATTTCACGAATGGAATTAACAACTGTCAAATTAGGTGATGAGTCACGATAGTTCCAGAACAGTAAAACCAATAAACTGTACTATTGTGATTGATATTGGCATTTATGTGGACGGCTGACTCAATCCTTACAAACTTACACACTGTACATTTGAATAACTTTCAATTTGTAAGGACAAAAGAAGCCATTCGAATGCACAGAACGTCCAATCGGTGACAAATTTACCGCAGAAAGCCAATTAAATACCGATGTTTTCATTTGCCGCTTATTGCAAGTCATGCTAGCATGAGGTGCTAGTTTAGTGTAAACACGAATATTTTATAGCGCATCTATCAAACTCGCTTACACAATCCAAGTGCCTAACAGCAAAACGCTATTCACTTTGACACACTTCATTTACTAAGAACAAACACGACTAAATAGAAGGCCAACGAAATCGAATGTCACGTTCGAACGAGTGATCAAGTTTAACGCTTATTTCATTTCAGATATTTAGGATATATTTCATAGTTATCTCTCAAGCCCRTGGGCAGAATAATTAGCTATCTACAAGTCCAATATCGCATCAAAACGTGTCCTTCCAGACCAGTCTCCGCAGCAACTAGCTATCTCTTGTATACTTCTGCGGTCAACGCCCCAACAAATACCGCAAAACATTCATCGCTATATTTTTTTTAATGAATCAATAATTTTACCGCCAGATTTAGACAAGGGACTCTGAAGGGCCTGGACATTCGCGAACTTTSAGAAACTTTAATCAGCGAACTGGCAATCGCCTCTTCTGCCGCATGTTAAACATATAGAAACTCAGAGACGCGAATACGATGTTATGCCTATATATGGCAGTAGAACAGATGACTAGATCAACTTTAGATGTGATTACAATTCTTAATATAAAGCAGCGGAGAGCTTGAAATCCGCACAATCTATCCTTAAAACTGTATTCTATCGAAACTCCAAAGCCCAATGATAGTTATAAGAGCTCTTTCTTAATGATATGCATATGTTTTGAGTGACCACAACGAGTGCAGACCGACTTTCAAGAAGTCTTAGCTACTTGAGTGAAATATTGATATTAAATTACTTTTTCAGTTGCATATTAATCATAATTTTTTGTTCTTATCGTTAATAATAATTCATTAACCCCTCGCTACATTTCTCATACAAAATTCACCTACTTACCGATGTTCACAAGTCGAATATTCTCGTCCTCTATAAACTTTAAAGCGATCGAAACGTTCTCTATCTTCTGTGACTTGAACACTGGTTTCTTCGTATGTCTAGGTAGCTTTTTGTGCGATAGAACTTGCAGTAGTGAAATGAGCTTTAAGCCATCGCACAAGTCGGTTTCGAGGTTGTAAATGTATTGGTTTACACATTTTAGATGCTCGTTGCACCAACGCGTGAATGTATTTTGTTGAATCTTCTTCCACTCGGCGTCGGCCGCAGTGGGGTCTGCACTGTCGGGCATTTCAAAATCCTAGAGAAACAGAACACAAGTTACTAAACTTGTAGCCTACCCAGAATCTCCACAGCCAATAACTTGAAAAACTTCGACTGAATCCGCCTACTTTTTCCCACAAGTTTTGGGCCCACTATGCAAACATGAATTGTCTACATAAGATCTCAAGAGAGGAAACTTTCGGGCCAATCACTAGCTGAATGAATTATTTATGTTTATAAAGTATACACGGATGAATGGACGACAAGACACAACTACAGTCAAACGGTCGAGAGATTTCCTTACATCCATCCTATTGGGATCCATGACGAAAACCCAGCGGGAAAAGTGCTAAGCAGATTTGAAAATTCCCAGTATCGAGTCTTGAACCTGGCTGGAGCAAAGCAGCCCTTTACGACTTCACTCCTTCACCCAGATAGCAGCCCAGCAAAGAGTAACGGAGAAAGAGTGAGAGTGACACTGATGTTATCCCTTTTGGTTGACTTAAAATTCCTCCAAAGCCAATTGGAAGGCTAGTTATAAGGAATTCTGAAGCGGGTGGGCTTGTTGGAATTCTAGATGCCGACCTTTGGGGTAACATCAGACCGGGACTTACGTCAAAACATTGTATGTTAACCAAAGTGCYGTCACGCAATCTAGTCACGTACCTTTCGTCCATTTTCACGAAACTGTGGAGTCTCACTTCGATTTCTGTTCGGAGTTTCCTTCACCTAAAAATATAAAAAAATACTTATCACTGGAGCTAGATGTATAGATATAAGGAGTATTTTCATTGTGGTTTTATATATTCCTGTTAGTATTAATGATCTTGACACGTTATCATTTCCGTCGATCCTAATGTCAACATAGATGACTACATAGATGATGGTAACTTTTGATCATGAATGCGCTACCGATYGGTAGATTCAAGCGACTAGCCCACAAAACAACCTCAGAAATGAAGAATTTGGGTRCMTTTTAGTAGATAAATCAATTTATTATWAGCAAAAAACCTGAAAATCGTCTTGAACAAGAAACAGATTATTTAGTGACAATATGGTCAATGTGCTCTGTTGTGTTACTGTCCGAAACACCCACTGTTGTACAGATCACAAGACATTCGCTTAGTAAATTGCCTTAAATGCAAATCACGGTATTAGAAACCACTTAAGAAATTTACAGCTCATCAAAAATAAAATCCATAAAAATAAAAACAGCCAAARATAACTGAAAATAACTCCTCAGCTTTTAAAAATCTACTTTAATAGTCTTTTTTTGAATTTTTAACCATTAATAGACGAATACTTAATGATTTTTTAAAAATAAGCAGTCTTAATAACCACTTCAGCAATCTAAGAGAGTGCAGCTTTCGCTTTAAAAACCGCAAAAACGCGTGCTTTGTGGCTGGAAATAAAGATGAAGGCCAAGCCACGTACCTGAGTACTTACAAAGGGCGTATACTGCACCCCTATAGTGTTTACTCATAAACCATCCGCTATTGATCTCTAAAGTATTGTCTGCAAAGCACGCCGATCTATCCCTCCTAACGCCCCCGATTTCATTCATTCATTCGGTTTCCATATATGGAGGTCAGTTTGTCATCGGAACTGCCGAACTTCTTACGAAGATCATCGGGAATAAATCGATAGCTAAACGAAGCTGCTAGAACATCCTTCGGATTCCATAGATATTAAGATTTCAATCGAAACCCACAACACTGAATTCCTAAGATACCAAGACTATTTTCAGACGAATATTTATTAGTTTATTTATAAATAGTTAAAAAAACTAACAAAGAGGATTAATTTGAATGTATCTGATGGTACTGTCTGTAAGTTGAAAAATGTCTGGATTTCGATAAATCTTTTTTCATCCTGATGAAACCGGTAAAGAATGTCTGAATATACGGCACGGACGGCACGTAATTCTCTAACATCGGCCTATAAAGTGATTCTCTATTTTTCCATCTGTAAAAACTTAGTAGAGACGATATAACACCTCGCTAGTACGGGCACATCACTATATATAGTTCGCAATATATATAGAGGTTTTATTTTGTTAATCTTTATATTACGGACAGTTTTTGAGTTTTTTTTTAATATGTTTGCATCGCAGAGGTCCGCTACTTAGTAACTGCAGTGATTTTAATATATTAAAAATACTTGAGTTTTTGACGCATGAGTCAATTTCCCCTTAWTTTTTTYTTYTTTKTYKYMTSWYACCTACTTTGTATACATTCCACGTAGCATTTGCCACGATTTCACTTTGTTRAAATACATACAGCATTTCTCTATTAATGCTATGTCTCAATTGTTTCGAATATTTCTTCAATCCACGAGTTTATATGCTGAAAAGGATGGAATATATGCAGTATCTTCATATATATCTTCCAATAACCGTTTCTTAGGCAACCTGTGCCTCACAGCAGATTGACGTTGATATAAAAAAATCCATCATAGACACTTAAAGATGATGAATGTTTGTTGTCTTAGGACCTCACGCAATTATAGTGACATTGAATAAAAGATTATAAAAGCTGATATCAAAATGAAACGTTGAGGATGAAAAGAATTTGAAATTTAAATTTCTAGRGAAAAAATGGAAAAACGTGTTTATTACCATGGTTACTAAGGAGTTTCTTGTAGAAGGAAAGCCAAAGAAAAAGAGATAAATAGAAAAGACAGAGATCAGGAAAATAACTAAAACCCTGAAGCAACTAAAATGCAATTAAAAAGAGAAAGATTAAGAAAAATTGAAGTTCAATGTTAATCCTCGATATAGATTTCTCTCCCTAATGCACAATGCATTGGCTATGTTTTTTCTTTTCTTTTGGCTTGCAAATTAGCTTAGGATTTAAAGAGAGCTTTTTTTATCAGCTTGTAATCCGTTGCAATGGGAGACAAATCACATAGCAGGTCACGTAACTTCAAGTTTAATAAAAACTGTAATTTTGAACGGCGAAGATAAACGATCGTGAGATAGGATGATTATAGCTGTTTGTGATATAAGCTTTGTCAATATCACATTTCCCCGTTTAAACAAACTCGTATTCCAGTCGTTACTCGACTTCATCCCGTATATAGAAAACTAGTTTTATATTTTATGAATAAACAAGCATTTTTAAAAATTTGTCAATATCACATTTCCCCGTTTAAACAAACTCGTATTCCAGTCGTTACTCGACTTCATCCCGTCCTTCCCTTGATGCAACGCGGTTCGTAAAACCTTTCCCATCAACATTCTTCGCGAATAAGGTATTGTGTCTGGATATTTTTGGTAGAAAAATATGCATGTTAACCAGGGAAATTAAAAAAAGGGCGAAACGAGGACTTTTTATAAGTTGTGCCGTCATCTCTGAAGACACTCCTTTTCGCTGATCAGTGACTAAATCTTGATGGCGAGTGAGTTATTATTCCCACGCAGTTAAGTAACAATACGTTACACGCTACTTCATGTGATTAACAATTCTAGTGACTGGAAAACTTCCGGCTATATTGAAAGGTTTGTAAAGAAACGAGCTGAGCCGCGTGCATCCGACACACGCCCCTCTTGTAAAACAAAGATCTAAGCTACGCTTGTTAATATGACTTATTAATGACAATTAATTGTATAGCGATGAGGTCATATGCAACTTCTAACAGTCATATTCCAACAAAGAGAGACTAGAATCTACTAGCGTCAATACCGCCAATAAACCGTCCGCCATCTTGATTTCCTGTATTTTAAGTATCGATTCACTGGCACAAAATAGTATGGGATTGCCTGGGGCAYTATTAAAGACATTCACAGACTATGCGGCTTTTAGAATGTTAGAATGTTCAATATTATAGAATATGAAATATACTGAAAAACATAACATAAGTTTTGCTACAATGATTGAATTTTGAGGTACGAAATTTTCCAGAGAAAGTATTTTTTCATGTCAATGCGCGTATTTTTATCCCATATAGACATCGCATGATTACTTAATTTATATACATGTAGTAACGATATAACACACGTTCAATAGTTAGGATAGATTCTTAGCTCCGCAGAATTATCGATAGTTCTTAGCTCCACAGAATTATCGAAATTCACAGCCTGAAGCCAGATATGRAATAGCTATCATCACAACGTATGGATTTTATTATTGCGATATTTAATGAAATAACTCGCTAGTCGTGGGTATTATGATTGTTCATTGAAGCCTACTTTGTTTWAACTATGGCTAAAAGGCTCGAAAGCCATGCAAACTATCGAGCTTCGAAACTTTATATTTTTTATTTCTCTTATTTGTTTACTCTGTTTACCTTTTTCTGTGGGTAGAGGGGGGAGGGGGAATTATTTTAGCGTGTTTTAGGGCGAAAACGAAAGTTAGTTACGAAAGCGCGTTAGTGTAGAGTAATGGCTATTCTACCAGAAACAGCATATTTTTCTATGCATTTGACACCTGTACTAGTTAATTATACCTATACAGGCTCTCTTTACATGGAAAATAGCTGTTCATTTTAACCTCCTTCTAGGGTCGCCTTAGGGTAAATCGTATTATTGAGATGTTTGCATGCATAAGGCATTTGTACGTGCCTMAGATAAATGTAGGGTCACTCTGCTAATAGGGTATCACCTCATTCAATTATTTGCCAAAAGGGTTTTATCCTTAAATCGGTCCATTTGATTTTTGATTGGGGGTGGGGAGGGGGGTGGGGGCTGGGTTGGCGGTCGGTAATATGSTTTGTCGAATAGTAGTGTTAGAGTATGGCTAAATAAGGCAGATTTTCTTTGGGCTTCCTTTGTAAGCGCTTTCAGCGAAGGAGACTAAGAACAACTCAACTCAGAATTTCGGACAACCAATAAATCAATTCGGAGATTTGGAGTGAGGTTTTGGGTCCTAATGATATTCATTGCGTCACATTAATTTTGTCACGATTTGTGGTAGGACTGCGTGACAAGCCTTATATTATCACTATAGTAAACTAATGTCTGTTTTCCATATGATTCTTCCAGGAGGTCTATAATTGCTTTAATCATTTCCTTGATATTGGTCCACATAGAGTACTTTACACGTCAAACTAGTCAAAATTATGTTTTAACAATCATTAAAATATGACATTTTCTTGTCTACATTCAAGTTTTAAAACCTTAAAGTGGCTCTACCCGGGAGTATAGGGTTTTCAGCCATGGGTCTTACAATTACATATCATATCCTATGAGCAAACATTAGCTAAGTRCATAATGTTAGGAAACTGTTTTTAATTATTATTAATGATCAATTATAAAAAGTCAGCTGATATTACCGACSATATCTTGTAAATGACATGCTCACTTAAATGTGCAATAGTCTGCATAGAGAAGGCTWAAATAGCGAGTATRCTTTTTTGCGTTTTTGTTCTGACAACGAAATCAAACAGAGATACGTCGYGTCCGATTTGACATGAGCTCCTATTCTGCCAAAACTATATACTAAGCTTTACTTTAACTAGAATAATATACTGCTTCGCGTTGAAAAACAGAATTGTGGTATCGCATTGAGGGGGACTATGTGATATTAGTTCTAGGCAGAAGTCCATAGCTATATCTGTGTGTGTATATATATGGACTTCTGTCCTRGGGCATATTTAACCGTGGGGTCGATATGGGACCGCGTAATTACTGAGGAATATTATTATGACTCAAAAGAGATCTTCAAATAACTTGGTTCTTTTCCGTGACGGTSGAATATGTAAAATTTGAAACCGAAAGGACTCATGGGAAGTTCAMTGATGAAATAATGAGGGCGACCATTGAAGGATGGAAGTAGAGGGATTTCGGCTTACAATTTTTTTGCGGGGGAGGGGGGAGATGGGGATGCGCCGTTTCTGTAAAGACTCACTTCTGTATATAACAAGGAATTCGATTCTTTGCAACTGATTCTTTGCAACTTTTTTTTCATGCAAAAAGGTATTTGGTCTTTCTATCTTAAGCCACAAGCGATTAAATATGATATTTTTTCATGATAAACTCGTATTSTAGAAACGTAATCGAGAAYTTTCGCCATTTCAGAGATAGCCGAGGTTGTCCTTCCTGAAACATCATTMAAGCMGTGTTCGCGTGCATCCATATTGATTTCGCAGTACCGGKGTGCTGAGTAAACCGATCTGATGACGTCAATGTACGTTGAACTAAAGCTTCTCCATGGTAGTCTTCCGCATTCTTTTCTGACTTTAGCGCTTCTTATGTTGCCTGAYAAAATCTCTCCTCCCGAGGACCTAATCTCTTAAAAGGGTCAGAGACGCCGACTGGGTACGCTTGTAGGGTGTATGCCCTCATTGCCCATTTAAAATCTAATCAATTGACGGCGGCACCCTCCGAACTCTCCAAAATATCCACCCACCCACACACTCACCCACCTATCCACACACCCACCCACCCATCTACACACCCACCCACCCCTATTCTTACACCCAGCAATACTATGATTCTAAGCCTCTGATATAGGAGAGTACCTACATTGTAGCACTATAGTATCCTCGTAACCTTTTTCAGTATTGGGATACCTGTGGTTCTTTCCACAGAAATCCCAGCAGGCGTAAACGGCAACGAGGAGACTAAAGTGTATAAGACTAAAATAAAAGGCCGCCAACATGGCACCAACATGGGCTAACATTGGTCGGAAGGATCGAGTCATTCCATAATGGAAAAAGCAATTACGTATTATTTGTGTCGTTAGGGGGAGGGGGATGTCAGATTTGTCCTATTTGTGATGTCCCAAATGAGACTTCGTGGATCCGCCTCTGTAGACCCCTCCTACCCCATCGACCTTAAACAACACAAGCTTACCTCTGAACTGTGTCTCCTTTTTGCATCCACTCTATCTTGCCAATCTCCAACTGGAGTGCTCTCTAATTGACTCGATTGTTGATATTCCACCGTTATTGCACTTGCATCGGGTGCATATCGGCTGCTCAAGTCYCTCAAACTTTGAGCTCTCAAAGCTGCAACATCGATATTTTTATGAGAAGGTTTATCTGGCATCCCGTTACTGAGGCGCTTCTCAGACGAACTCCTTACGAGATTTCCATTTGTGGTGTGACTTTCTGACTCCCATTTTTCAACAGATTTGAGTACTTGTCCCCCACTTGTGGTTACACGGCCTATAGGCCCGCCTAGTTTATTACTACTACTCGGCACAGGGGACTTCGTATAACGAACCGCTAATAAACCATAATCTTCATCATCTATATCCTGAAATGATGATAAACTTTTACTCCTTCGMGGACTTCCCCCTGGCGATGCAAAATCGAAWCGATCTGAACCAAACCCGTGTAARGTCGAGTCGTGATCGACATCTTCAAATCCAAAACTACTTGGTGGCTTACTTGAATCTAATCTTTCAAATTCGGTAAACTCCGGAGGTAATGGAAACGGTTCGGAATCGTCCGGAATTGAATCGAGGTGTTCGGTACTTCGGACWATCTTCGTGTACGTAGTCGTGTATTCTTCGACGTATACGCTGGAATCCCGACTATGTACAGGACTATGTGGCCCTGTAAACGCGTCTATGTGTTCTGATTGTGTTTGTGTTTGTGTATGTGGTTYTCTGCGATTTKTAAATGTCTCTTCGGACTCCTCGAACTCGAACGTGCGTGGCTGCACTCGACTCGTCGCGCACCAWGATCCCTTGTCTTCTTCTCTGGTTGTATATGGACGTTTTGACATTCTAAAAAGCAGACATGAATTCAATTACGTATTCCGCACGCGGCACACATGCTACTTATACAGTCATTTCAAAAACGTTGAGTTCTGAATACTTGGATACTGCAATACTGTATGTTCCATCAAGACCGAAATGCATTGTATTCCATGAAAGAGGTTTTGCAAAATGACAGTTCTAAACTGAATTATCTTCCATGACAGATACAACAGTGCTTGGAATAGTTACCTCAAACTAGTGATAACGCCTTTCACTGGAAAAAATCGCGCTCCATTARGGTTGTAAATTTGATGGAAATATGATGTAAGTGTCCAAAATGATGTAAATKTGATGGAAATGATTTACATCAAATTTACATCATTTTGGACACTTACATCATATATACATCAAATTTACAACCTTTGTGGCGCGCGATTTTTTCCAGTGTTTTTGAGGGGTGATCATGCAACGACCAACATTTTGTTAGTGAAACTGAATGCAATACTCAGTAGTTCAGTAATCAACGCTTTCTCGATATATCTGATGTATATGATAATACGTTTCCATCAAAAAAAAGGGAAAAAGACGGTTTCTAAAAGCCTAATTATTCTTATAAGAGTGTGTAACAATTAAATTTAATGTAACGTAGAAAATTTACAGTTAGTACAAATGGTTTTTGAATAATGCAATCTCAATTTTTTTTTTTTTTTTTTTTGCTGTAATCGAGTACACATGGTATATACTTAGTGATGATAAACCTCGTCAAAATTCAAAATAATATTGCCTCAAATAGATGAATATTGCATGGAAATTCATTATGTACACATAAGGTCATTTTTACAGTCACCAAAGTCTTAGAAATRAGAGATATATTCTCTCTATTATAACTGGATTAGGCCCAAACGCATCGAATTCAAAGCGCATAGCAATCTTTGTAGAAGACAAAAATCCYCTGTCCTCCCCCCAGCGCCACCGAGACTAATTTTAAATTTTTCATACAAAGAAAACTTGGCCGACAAACTTTACATACAACTGATACGTGTTTAAAAATTCATGTACATTATAATTGTCTGTACAAATCTTTAACTTTTCGCCCATTGGGGTGRTATAGCAAAACAGTTAAGTTCTAAGTACAGCTCGTCAAAAATAATCTTCATAAAGCTCAAAACGAGGTTTTATCTTAAATGCTAATGGATGTACTAGCTTTAGATTAGAAATTATGCATGGTAGATATTCAAATTGAGATTACTGTATTAGACTTGTAAAAGTCAATATTATACTGATTGCTGAGCTWGTTTGCAGTTGAAAAAGGAATGCATTTTTTCTTGCATATTCCACTGAACTAAATGAAAGACATCCGTGCTTTTTGCAGCATATTTTTGTGACTTTAAGAGCTGATATTTTCTTTTGCGTACAGTATGCCGTTTCGTTGTTAAGAGTTCCCTAAAATACTATTGATTCTACGCTACTTTGGTTTTCAAAATGATAGACAGTCGTTAAAAATGTTCACGATTTTGTTGCAAAACGAAAAGATAATTCTAACATTCRTTTTCACAGGTGAAATTCAAAACATTCAGTTCTAAAGTTACAACTTATCTTATAAACAYRAATWCAAAAATACGGCAGTGAAACTTGTCATAAAAACCCWCACTTACTTGAGAGATCAGTTGGCTTGGTTTGCGGAATGTAAACTTAACTTTCACCTATTCGTTCATTTCTCATTGTACGCCCTTCAAATGTAGTGTTTTGGGCATCAAAATGACGCTATATTTACCCCTGACAACATGCTTGACTCTCGGCTATGAAACATAGCGCCTGACTGGCATTGTTGCTTGTTGCTGATTGGCTGGCTTAGCGCGGTCACCTGTGTTCTTGTTTTTGAGACGAATTTCCTCCGTGAATGAGTTTAAGTCTTCGTGTAGTAGCGCTGTTTAAACAGGAATTAAACACAGATAACACGAATATGGCACGCAGAAGACTCCACGGAGAGGATTATCATAACGCTATTTAACATATATACAGTTTTTCTTAAACAAAGATCATTATTTAAATTAGTAAAATTTYAAGTAAAAACTTTAAACGCAAATTACCAAAAGACGCAACGATAATTGAGCRAGGAATTGCTYCAACATCTATAATCCAGCACACTTAAAAACCACTTACAGTTACGAAAATAATGATTGAGTGTGGTATTTTCACTAAACATACCCTTTTTAATTCATAAACACATTGATATGAAAAAGTTCTTTGTTTTGACTGCTCTACAACTGAAACACATCCGAGTCTTTTGTCAGCCGATGTGAGTTAAGTCAATTCTAACCAGACTGTGATCAAATACAGGAAATCATTTGAGGCCCTGGCCACGTATAGTTTCTTTGCAAACAAATTCTTGAAGCGGCTTATGTGCCTTTGTCCACACACGATGTTTCTATAGATAAAACATTCACAAAAATTAYCGTTAACCGCTCGTCGTTTGTGAAAAAAAAATTCCTCAAATAATTAGCCTTTCTGGTCATTTACGACTATACGGTGACTAAGCCACTTGTYATAATGTATACAGTTTCTATGACTACAGAAATTTTAACCACGACCACTTTAATTTATTTTAATSTGCGCTCATATCGATGACACAATCTTGAGTATTGCGAGTACCACCGCTGCCACCAATAATTTTAAAGATGTCTGGGATCGCTGGCTCGCGGCTATGKTTTTTCTAGTGGCTATGTGTGATTCTATAGAATTTATGAGTGACGATTTAAACACATTCGCTGGCTTTTTGTGTACTTTTTATTATTTTTATTTTCGGTTAAGTCGGGAACTTTCGAAAATACCTGTTGTAGCAAAGAATCGCCAGCCAAGACTCTTGTTTATTCGTTTAATTAAAAAAATATTTTGGCACTGAATCGCACGCCTGTGATTTTTTAAAATTCTCGTCTCTCTGCAGAGAAACCAATTAAAGCGCTCTTTCTTATGATGATTTAAGCGATTCGTAACATACTTCAATAAAATCCTGCAACCTGATTGGCTTATAGGAGGATATTATTCGTCAATAGTGCGACTTTCAAAATAACTATAGCAACCATTGTTTTCAATCGAAAAAAATTTAAGAGAATTTCATGAATAATTTGAGCAATATTCTAATCAAATGATGATGTTTTTGCGTCGTATTTTGTCATGTATATACTACTCCTGTCATTACAAAGTTGACCGAATTTCACTCGAACACTGCTCATGCTTAGTTTGTTTAGAAATATTACTCGAAAATCACTTATACCACGAATATCGACAAACGAAAGAGGAATGTTTTATGTTTATGAAATCATTGTTGTACAACTGTGATGAAAGCTAGAAAACATCCATAAAGTCGAAATGACATATTTGATCGATAAATCATCGGAGTACAAGCTGAATCATCGTATGTCAACAACCGTTGATTATCTACATTCCTTTCTAGTAAAATATCATAGAGTTAAAACAGCCTGAAAAATGTAAAATCTTTGGCGATTTATAAACAGGGAAAAAGGCAGATCCTCTTTTAATAAAGACCCGGCAAATTAAAGAGATGTCGAACTTTTGAACGATTTCTAACGAGGTCAAATTTTATGATTTTTGGCGCTAGTCTGGGTATCTTTGGAAGCTTGGAGTTAGATTAGATTCTCGATGCAATTAGATCCATTATTTTATAGTTTTTTCAAGTTCTTTTATTTGTATGTTATGTTATGGATGTTGTTTAAATCTGAGTTTGAAACATTTCCTGATTGTCCGGGGAACATAGATTCATATAAACATCGCATAGCACACGTTTCACATAATACGCACATGTTMMGRYYT